GGTAAGGATCAAACATCCTTACTCAGTCGAAATCATTAAGACATTTCCGAGAATCCAAGGTGTAACTTACCACTGTAGAAATTTTCGTTTCATTGCATCTCTTATCTATTAGACAAGTCCGTCCGTCCGTCTGTGGTGCTGTTTCAGCGGCCAAACCGTAAGAGATAGATAAAGAGAATATTTAAGTTATAAGTTAAGAATAGTCTGATAAGACTACAAACCGGATTTGAGTAACGTAGCACTTCCGGTTTTCGAGAAATCACGAATTTCGAACGAAACCACACAAAATCTCCGAAGTTCTCAATTAATTAAATACATTTTTTTTTAAATCAGGTTTTGGTGAACATTTGGTTCACTGGTTTGCTAGTTTCTGATAATTCTCACCCCCCAATCTAAATCTAAGGATAAGAAACTTCGTATAAGTACCTAATATTCAACATAGGTAATTTACGATGGGAAAGTGGAATCCATTTTTTTTATATTGGATTCCTTGTCGGCTCTTCCGTTTCCAAATACCTACGTACAATATGACAGGTCTAGTTTCATTCAATGCTGTAAAGTTAATCTAAATTTTGCATTGAGCTTTAACATATTCGTAATCTATTTTACTAATTTATCAACTTTACTCACTTACAGCTTGATGTAAATTTATATACCTATGTATGTCTAGATTGAGTTTGGATTATTGATCCAATAAATCTTTCGAAAAATGACAGTTTGTGATAATTTATTGACTAATAAAGAAATCCATACGAGAGAATAATAACAAAGGACACCCGGCATTTTGTGCCAAAGTTGTATACTTTTTTAATTTTTTTATCTGTGTTTCATAATTAGGTAATGTAGTCTGGCAATATTTGTCATCAGCAGCTAGCTGTCAATGTCAAATACGTAGGTTTGTCAATATACCCTCTATATGTAGCCGGGTCGTCAAGAGAAATAACGGATAAAAAGGCAATCACAGCAGAGAACATTCACAATCACAGTACGCGGGAGCGGATGCGAAATGCGAATGGTTTTTTGTTTGTATTTTAGGATTGACATTTGGTTTTTTTATTTAGAAAAAGCAAAGGAATCATCGTTTTTACAGTCACTTGAGTAATATTTTGAATTAAAATTCTGTCCCTTGAAGATTTAGGGTTTCCATATCAAAAAATATTAATCATTATATAACTTCTTTCCACGATTCACTAAAAATAAGGCAAAAGTAGTTTTATGTAGCAAATAATTTTGGCTTTATTTTGAGACCAAATTCAACTGTATACAAGTTTAGCGTTTTTTCTATGAAAAGTGTCGGGTCTCCTTTACAAGTTTACCTGACGCTTTGTTACATCTTTGATAAACGTATTGGATTTGTATTTAACGCTCATCACAACTTCAATGATTACTCCAAACATAATTAACGGTTTATTAACTTTAAATTCTGAACTTGATAAGTAGTGACACTCACATTTGAATTTGCAATCTAAGTAAGCCTAAAATAAACTTGGAACCCAGAATAAGCAAATATGTAGTTTGGAACATGACATAGCAAACACATGTCGTTAATATGAATTGATATTTACACTCCTTTGATTTTCTGTTAAATTTCTATTTGCATAATTGTTAATTTTAATAGCTTTCCGATTCAGGGGGTTTGATGGTAACATAATATTTAATAGACATAGTTACGTAGCTTGAGCGTATTAGCTTTGTCACTATCTAAAAAATGGGTGCGTGTACATAAGTAGGCGCGTGAGAAGTTATCCTTCTTTGGCATCGTTTAAAGTTAGTTTTTAATTGCATGCAAATAATTAATTACAATAAATTAATAAAAAGTCTGGAAAAGGACACAGTCAATAAAGTTCAGTTTTAATTTGAAAAAATAAATAAATAATCAAAATATTCAATTAAAATCGCTACTGAATATAATTTATTAGAACATATGTGATTTGCACTTGTATGAAACTCAAACACGTATTCCGAATATACAAACTAGAAACATGTGGATAAATATTATAAATATGAATACCTATAACTGTTACTTTATTACAAAAAATAAAGATGTGGTTTTTGGTTCTACTACACCAATGGTCAAGAGATGGCGCTGTAGTTTCCTGAATCACGCTTTGGTTCCGTTGTTCCAGATTAATAAATACCTTTGATAGGCCTTCACAATGCAGTCGTTAGCACCCACTAAATAGAGATTCTGTTTCTATTTTGTTGGTAGATTTTCTTAATGTGCGGCAAACACAAAGTAATTTTTGTGTTACAGTGATGCGCGCGCATCTTAAAATTTCACTCTCATCATTTTTTCATAAAGCGCCTAAAGAAGTATAACTTCAAAAATATTTTTGAGATGTGGTGTTGGAGGCGGATGCTAAGGATTCCGTCGCCTGCACGGCGAACAACGTGTCCATACTTGAGGAACTCGGCATCACCACAAGGTTGTCCACTATCTGTTAGCAGCGCATACTAAAGTATTATGGAGGAGCTCGATGGCGCAAGTGGTTAGCGCGTTCGGCTGCGATCGTTGAACTTAAGCAACTTTCACAGTGGTCGGTCATTGGATGGGTGTCCAAAAATTACTATCTCGAGCTCCTCCGTGCTTCGGAAGGCACGTTAAGCCGTTGGTCCCGGCTGCATCTGCAGTCGTTAGCACCCGCCAATCCGCACTGGGCCCGCGTGGTGGGTCATAGCCCAATCTCCCTATTCCATCCATAGGGAAGGCCTGTGCCCCAGCAGTGGGGACATTAATAGGCTGATGATGATGATGATGATGACTAAAGTATTTCGGACACATCGCTCGCAGAAACCCTGACAGCCTAGAGGAGCTGTTTTTTTTTTGTCTTATATCCAGACCTCGATATTAGCGACTTAGCGTCACCCAGCTGCTATAAGAACAGATGCGTACCCGTAGCACGAACCAATATTGAATTCGAATAGTTGGTGAGTGCGAAATGTCATTGTCAAAATTTATATGAAAACTTAAACAGCAGCGCCATAACGTACGTAACGAGAACTAAAAATCAATACACATTTGACAATGACATTTTGTTCTCGCAAACGATACGTTTTCGATATTGGTTCGTGCTAAGGGAACAAGTCAGAGTGTGTAGTAACAATTTGAAACTTACGTGTAAATTTAATTAATTGAAATTAAATAAAGTGCGCAACGTCAAGTACCAATATTGTACCATTTTATGCTAAGCGAGAGTAACTTTGAATAGAGAGCATTTAATTAGAAATCGGCAAGATTGTTTAATCCCTCTTAGCATTTAGTAATAATAAGAGTCACGTACGATACGTAAGTAAAGACTCTTGGCGTTTTCTTCATTTCACGCGCCTACATACTTTAAAACTAAATTAGAACCACTTCATAGCGTACTTATTAGGAAACGTGTCGTCACCTCACATACCGCGGCACGATGAAGTAACTGTATACTGTACTAGAGACCCGCCCTAGCTTCGCTTCGGTGTAGAGCTGAAGTGTAGACTTAATTTTTGTTCTCAGACTTGTATTATACACAATGACATTCATCTATGATTCTTCTTATACCTGCATGCAAAGTCTCAGACCGATCGGTTTAAAATTGACAAAGTTTCATACAAACTTTCATTCCCTATTGAACAAAAACTATAGTCTACACTACAGTAATACTAGCCGTTACTACAGTAGCCGTTGAACAAAAGCTATAGTCTGTACACTACAGTAGTGTAGACTATAGTTTTTGTTCAACGGCTTGTATTATACACAATGACATTCATCTATGATTCTTCTTATACCAGCATGCAAAGTCTCAGACAGATCGGTTTAAAATTGACAAAGTTTCATACAAACTTTCATTCCTTATTTTATCCCCTTGGGGGTTGAATTGATCAAAATCCTTTCTTAGCGGATGCCTACGTCATAACATCTACCTGCATGCCAAATTTCAGCCCGATCCGTCCAGTGGTTTGGGCTGTGCGTTGATAGATCACTATGTCAGTCTGTCAGTCACCTTTGAGTTCTATATTATAAATAGATAACAGTAAGCACACGCAGCCGGTGTTCATCGATTTATACGTTATCACGTCAAAAATCGTTATTCTAAAGATTTGCGCTACAATATTATCTCTCAGTGGTTACTTCCTGTTTAAAACGCTTCGAATATTTCAAATTTTCATTTTATTCACAGTTGATTTTATATTTTGTTAATTTAAGGTAGGAGAAAACCCGATGACTTGTCCTTATGGAAGAGCTGAACCATCTTTCAAAATTGTATTTAAATTTAGCGGAAACAAATCGTCAGTTCGTTCATTGGTAACATTCGAGACGCCATACACAACAAAACAGGGTGTATTCCGAAATAAACATCAGTATACTGGCCAGTGGTAATGACGTCACGAATCCGACGCCATATTGTACTGGTATGCTAACATATTTTTACCGGGAAAACGAATATGACGTATGACCGAGCGTGCGTGAGAAGCATTAAAATTTTATTTCATTTTTATTTAAAGAACAATAACGGCATCCGATCAAAAAGAATTCCTTTTAATTGATGAGGTGAATAAAAAATCTTCTTTATACACACTATTTTTAATATTTCGTTGATTTATGACGTCAGTGCACTGGCCAGTATATTTCGGAACAATTCACCAGTCTAGCGTCGATTCATGACGTCATTAGCACTGGCCATTATACTGGTATATATTACACAATACACCCACAGTCTCGCGTGTGTCCAATGAACGAATGAACGTTATGTTTGCGCTTCATTTAAATACAATTTTGAAAGATGGTTCCCCACATTTCAGATACTTATTTATCATTTCGTTGTAATTTAGTAATTATTTTGTTTGCGCTATTAATCATTATTAGTCTTTGAGTTACTAAAGTCTTTTACAAGTTGACTACATTAAAATATGATTTATTTGTAATAATCAGTCAGAGAACATCAGAATATAAGAATTAGGAAAATTTCATATTTACTTAATTGTATTCACAGTGCCTAATCAAAATTTATTTAAATCTGCAGATTTTTACGGTCTACTGCTCTAGAATTCCAACTGGACGATGAAGTCACATCCAATGGAATCATTGCCCCAAGATTCATTGACGAAATCGCTGATGAGGTTGATATCATTGAAGACAAGAAAGCACCACCTTTCCGTAAGTATTGCTACAAAATTAAATAATTAACGACCGCACTCAGAGAAGTAAATTAACCTTAAAGTTTATAGGAATGATGACAAGGTAAAGTAAGCAGAATTCTAACTAATCCATAATTAGATAACAAAAAAAAAATGGTCAAGTATTTTTTCTTTTGTCAATCAACCAAAAAATTACAAAGAGCGCCTCAAATGTTGCGAGTTGGGCTCGTGACGTCACTTCTAAGTAAAAATTGTAACTAGGATGTGAGGTTTCATATCAATATAATATTTCTGTAATGTTTTGGTGGTGTGAAAAGAATACGTGTCCTATACTTTTTGATATTCTACCCTATAGACGAAGAGAAAAAAGTTTGTGATAATCCCAATGTAATTGGGCTTCTAAGTAAATTTACAATGACACAATAAAATTTTATTAATTGAAACTTTAATGTGTCATCGTGCCTAAAGTTGCGTATAATATGCCGATTTATCGTCAACTCTGAAAATATTTACCAAGCTCTCTCACGTGGTAAAAGCACTTAACCGTCTTAATCATTATTCAACATTTGTAACGCCTGACTGGAAATAAATTACCATACCTTTTGAAATTGCCTTTTTTGCTGATTAATTATATAAAAACCTTCTACAGTTTTTGCTTTATTTGGTAAAAAACAAGCTGCGAACTTTCTGTGGCTACCTTTTTATTGTCAGTAGTTAAATTATAGCAATTTCATATCAGACTGTAATAAATAAAACCTAATCGAAGTCACATAATAAATTAATTACCATTTTATTGTTCTGCTCACGATCTATTTAACTTGGCATAGTCTGTCCAGACAGTTGTAATTAGATAAAAGTTGTTCACCAAAAAGATGGGTGTAATATCATAAATCACAAAATATTTTATAACCTACTAGTGGCCTGCCCTCGCTTTGCTTCGGTGTAGAGCTGACGGGTCCTAAACTACGCAACATTTTTTTTACTTGGAATGGAAGGTTTATAATTATAGACCTTCTTCATAATAATTATAGACCTTCCATTCCAAGTAAAAAAAATGTTGCGTAGTTTAGGGCCCGTTGTACCGAATGCAACATTGCTCTGCTGTTCCGATTTGAAAAATTCTTTTTGTATTGGACAGTCAATATATCGAGAAAGGCTATATATTACCCGGCTACGACCAGTAGCAGAATGAATGAAATCGATGAAAAATGTTGCAAAAACGGGTAAAAATATTCCATTTGTGAGATTCCGTTGCGTGCGCTGGGTAAACGGTTAAAGTTACACAAAAATCATGTGTGACGGAATTCTTTCCCTTTAAAAGTTCTGTAAAAAAGCCTACGATAGCCTATGTCTATATTTTAAGTTTGACTCACTATAAACCTTTTTCTTCAAATTAGCGCGGGTGAAATCGCAGGAGACCTCTAGTTGTGACATAACTTTATATAGACATATGGTATCACGGACTTTTTTGTAGATATTGGTATCCTCTATAAAACTTTAGATATCACTTTGCTCTATTGTCAATGACTTCCGCAGCGTTCGCGATATAAGGCTATTTTTAGGTATTTTTTACACATATTGGGTTACATTATCGAAGTTTTCATACGGAACCCTAACTTTTTTGAAAATATACTATAGCCTATATTAATCAGTGATAATGTAGCATTCAAATGGTAAAAGAATTTTTAAAATCGGTCCAGTACTTTTTGAGCCAATTCGTTATAAACATACAAACCTTTCCTCTTTATAAAGCATGTTTATAATTATCCATCTACGAAATTAGTAAGTAGAATTTAAGTTGCATCTTCGAAACCTTTTGATTTGCTGATTTTGGCAAAAGACCTATCGGAACTATTAAGTCAAAATCAGTGTTGACAAAGTTAATTTTGCTATGAGTCTGGGTATTCATTATACCGCAATCGTCATGGTCATCCATCTTACTCAAACTTACATAGTTCTCGATGCCGTAGCGTAACACAAACCACGACGAAGATCATGATACATTTAATGGATTATTATAATAAAAAAGAATTTTGAAAACCAGTCCTAAATTCACGGAGGAATCGCGTAAAGTTCTCTACGTACTATCCTGTATCTCAATCTCGTTTACGTGCATAGCGCTGCCCCACATGTTGCATCCAGAAAGATGGATAGTGCGAAGAGGATTCAACATACAAAATGGTCATCTCAAAGTCCCAGCCTTGATTCTCAATCCATAAATGTTAAACGTATGTTTAAGGTTCTTTTGTATTTGGTGTGACTTACAGATTGTATACAATGATCTAAGCTTTATAGACCGCAATATTTTTGGTTTTCATACGAGACGCATCAAATTACCTCCTGATGTTAAATGTAAGTGGAATGTCGCGAAGATTAATGATGCGGCAGAAGGATTGCCACTCCAGACACCCTCATGCAGTCTACTCCGTGCGAGCCCTGGAACTATCATCCATCTATCAGCCTTTCTGCGTCCACTGCTGGACACAGGCCTCTCCCAGAGAACGCGACAATGCGCGGTCCTGCATTAGTCGCATCCAGCGGCTCCCAGCACATTTGACGATGTCGTCAGTCCACCTTGTTGGGGGCCGCCCCACGCTGCGTCGTCCGGTACGTGGTCACCACTCGAGGGCCTTTCTTACCCAAGGGTTGTCAGATCCTCGAGCGATGTGGCCTGCCCATTGCCACTTCAACGTGCTAACTCTTCGGGCTGTGTCGTACACACCGGTCCTCCTACGGATCTCCGTATTTTGGATCTTATCACGTAGGGAAACACCCCTCTCCATAGCACGCGAACAAAGTTATTGAAATTTTATTGTTGTCTCCAGGTCGCCATAAACTGAAGAAGCTGATCATTCCTATGTTGCTGATTCTGAAACTGTTCAAGCTGAAGCTTCTGCTTTTCTTGCCCCTCATTCTGGGCTTGGCCAGCTTCAAGAAGTTCCTCGGATTCATGGCACTGATCGTTCCAGGTAAAAACTTTTTTTATTTCTAACTGAAGATAATATCATGTTTGATAGTTCTCCTTTCATTAAAATTATTAAAAGCTATGCGTTTGTGCTGAAAGGTTCTTCAATACCAATTGAAGCTTACATCACCATTAAATAAACAATATTCTACATAAAATACAATGACCAACTAGACCAATTAACTTTTTTTTAATAATTTAAAGTACAAGGATAGCCCTATCCACGTTATTTAATTTTACAGCCTTATCTTATGCCAGTATAATAAAAATAACAGCTGTTGTTTCAGTCATAAAATTTATTAAATGGTCTGTAAAGTTTAAGTACATAGAAGTTGAGTCCTCTTTTATGTCTAATTTGAATTATAAAAGTATGTATATGTATAACACGATACTCGTAATTAAAAATACAATACTATTAATTATCATCATCATCAGTCTATTAATGTCCCAATCAGTATGCATGGGTTAGGGAGATTGGGCCATGACCCACCACGCGAGCCCAGTGCGGGATGGTGGGTGCTAACGACTGCTGATGCAACCGGGTCCAACGGCTTAACATGCCCTCCGAAGCACGGAGGAGCTCGAGATAGTAACTTTTTGGTCACCCATCCAATGACCGACCACTGCAAAACTTGCTCAACTTCAACGACCGCAGCCGAACGCAAGAAGGGAGCAACGACGATTTGTAGGGTGTGGCGGCCACCGGCGTACCGTGTGTGGCGTGTCCATATAAAAAGTATGAAAGCTACAAGAAATATGCCGGTGGCGGCGTTTTGTGGTTGTGGTCGGTGGCCCGTGTGCGGCGACACTTAGAGTTTTTATTGACAGATCTGAAAATACTGGCGAGTCGATTGTTTTGTCAAACAAGTCGGACGATTGAATAAAATATGATTTTTGCATTTAAAAGTGCTTAAATAGAAATAATATGTTAATAATTCTACTTATGTCTGAAATCAACACCATCCTTTTGTAAGTTTTATATTACAGATATGTTTTAAAGCAAATTATATAACATTTTGGCATTTTCGATCTCTAACATACACTCGCGCGACTTGACTCAGTCTAGTGAAATATCCGACGTGCAACTAGTTTTGTTTTTGAGCTGGCCCAACAGCGGGGTAAAATCGACAGAGAGGAACGCTGTGAATGCCTACTCCCCTCCATGCTGCGAATGAATATTTTTCGGAAAAGAATTACATTTTTTTGAAAAATATTAATAAATTGAAAGAATTGTTAGAGACAAAAAAAATTGGCTTTGAAATAGCCAGTACGGGAGAGCGGCAATTTCATTGTCAGTCCAGCAACTGCGCACGGGATCACGACTGTATCCTGATCCCGATACAAAAGAACTTTCTAATAACACAATTTGAATAAAGGTTATTTTCATTTATTCATTTGCTCAATTGTTTTGATGTTTCACAGGAGTGATCGGTTACTTCAAATTCTGCAAGCCCAATCTGAGTTCCCCGTTCTCATCGAGTCACTACAGCGGCCCTCAGTACTCACCCGCCGGAATTGGACTGGGACCATATAGGGAACATCCTCCGGCGCAGTATACCCATTATGATGGCTACGGCGTAAGTATCTAAACCTTGGTCTTAAAACTTTGTAGTTCTGACACTGTTTTGCATTTTAAAAATAAATTTGATATTAGTTAGGTGTTCTATTTGAGGTTTAAGCGTATCTAAAATAAGTCTTTAGGAGCGGTCAAACTCCAAAATTAGCCTCAAAGAAAGTCTGTTTTAGAAAAAATAGTAATACTCTGACTAAAACAATATTTTTAAGCATCAATTAGGAAGATATTCTGAATTTTCGACAGCTATGCTGTAAGCTACTGGTTATCAAATGGAAGGTTTTTGTTTGGAAACACGCATACCATAGTAAAATAACTTTAACTTTCGAAAACTGACGATATTTGTGATGCTTTCAGAACGGTGGTCACAAATATGGCTCTGGAGGTATCTCATTCAGGGAGCATGATGTTAGCCCTCAAGACCTGGCATACCAGGGTTGGGAGTACAGAAACCAGAAGAACGGCGACGACATAAAAGCAGGCGAAGCATAAGACTGAACTTTTTACAATGTAACAATATAGTTATGAATTTATTATGAATACTCCTGATTATTGTGACAATTGTGCTTTCAAAAATATCATCAACCTCTCATCGCACAGTAAAAATGAAAGAAATAAGTTCTTGAATATATTAGAAAATAATTATCAGCATGAATAGCTTGAATATCTGGAAGACTGTTCAAACGATGTTATAGTCAAATTCTACAATATTGTCTACATATTGTATAAGTCATTAGCATCTTGTCTTATTTAGCGACAATAGTATTATTACAAAAGCATAAATGTAGTCGGGGTTTGTTACAATGAATGTTGTTATTAATTTATTTATAATTAGTCCATATTTTGCCATGCTCCCTACAGATAAGTATGTCTTGTTGTATCTTATTCGGTTTCCCGAATGATTTTGTAAATAGGTATCCTACAAAAATGTAATAATGTTAATTTGTAATTCTTTTTACTTACATATTGTGCTAGTTATTATACTTTAAAATATTTTTAATTTATAAACCAAAATACTTAATTTTTTATTTTTTTATGAATATAGATTCTTTTACTTTATCATCTCTATTTTTTTTTATATATGTTTCCTTCTAACCATTTAATCAGTATTTATTAGCTCTTCCACTCAGTTTAATATTCTTGGCAGATAACAGCAATTACCCTTCTAATTTGATATATTTCCTATGAATGTTACTCTTTCACGCTAAAACGGCTAAACGGATTTAGATGAAATTAGTCATATTTATATACATATATATATAATTCTTCTGTGAGTGTGGTTGTCACTGAACTTCTCTTAAACGACTGGACCGATTTTGATGAAATTTTTTGTGTGTGTTCAAGGGGATCTGAGAATGGTTTAGATTCACAAAGACGTGTAGACAGGACAACGTCTGTCGGGTCCGCTAGTATACATATAATTTATTACAAAGATAAGACACATAGGATACATTTTATCACGGATTTCTGTGGGTTTTTCAAAAAACTTACTTTAGTTCGGACGCATTAGTAAATAAATTCAAGATAATGTCGATTTTCTTGTCTCTTCCAATTCAGAGCTATAGCAATTTGTAAGAGCGTCCGTAATTCATTATTTTTGCTGCTTGCTTAGAGAACTTCACCTCCCCCAATTTGTCTTTGTATTCCTTATCCGTAAAAGACTAATTGTTCTCGTAGCTAACGACATTGACTAATCGCCTACTGAATCTATAGCCAGTATCTGAATACTCTTTCATACTGTCGCACTGTGTCTTGAATTTTTAGGGGAAATCATCCTTTGAGAGGAGTTTGAGCATGTTAGGATGTCCTGGGTTTCCCACTCACAGTTCAAGAATCTTTTACTATGTAAAACGTAAGAATGGCGGTCAGCGATGCAAATATGTTTTTTTTTTATATATCTTTAGGAACTGAGAGAAATATAAAATAAGGGGCAATATAAAAATACTTTTTTTGAAAAAAATACGTTCTGACCCGGGTGGTCTTGAAATAACCAGTACGACAGAACGGCAATTTAATTGGCATTTCAGCAACTGCGCACAAGACCACGGCTTAAATCCATACGCCACTGATAGAGCAAAGAAGTAAAAGTAGATAAGAGTAAAAAATTTTTTTTTTTTATTTTCTATAAAAAATAAATCTTATGATTTATTTCATAAGGATAATATCATCTCCCTGGCAATAATGCTTTCAAATAAAGTCAACAATTTAACCAGTTTTATGTTGCACAAACACTGCTTCTGTGCAAGTATTCCATTTAACTTAAAAATAGCTTAATATATGGATAATTCCAAGAAGCAAAATTCAATCGCAAGACCAACCAAATATGAATAACAAATTGAATGAATAAGTCCTTCGCAATATTTTACAACATTTATTTACACTACTATTGACTACCAGTGTCTTTGAACATGAGCATTGACAATATCTGTGTTATTTTCACCATCTTCGTTGTTATTGTTATCAAGGAATTCCATTTCATCAAAATCAGTGAGGACAAACAAATCATCTCTCTCGTCGCTGCGTCTGTTCCTCCTGTGTTCTTTCATAGAATGGAGATTATGGAAAGGCATTGGGTATCTAGATACTCTATTGCTCTTTGTTAACTTATGTTTCTTCTTCTCCTTTGTCTGTGTCGTGGTATTAACGTTCTTCTGTAAAATCTCATCTTTCACATAGTAGTCTAACGCATCTCCGGTTATCGGGGCTTTAGTGGGCGCGCTCGTCTGCTGATTCAGCACCATCTTCTTGTGTGATTTTCTCTTCTTTATTATCTTCTGTATTGTTCGTTTCGGTGATTTCTTTGATATCTTCTTCTTCCTGCGTTGTTGGTCTATTTTCATATTGGGCACTCTTAGTAAGTTCTCTGCTCTGTCTATATATGTCATATTCATTGGGATTGCCTGAAAAAAGATTGGACAAAGAACTAATTATTTGGAATTCAAAATATTTTAACTATATACTACCGGTACTGTATGTTTGTTTGTGTCATAAATATTAGTTGAAATAATGACAGTTCTGCGGTGCTATTCTGTAAGAATAAAATTCACTTTTCACCTAGAAATCTGAGATAAGAACACGTATATCAAATTAATTTCAAATCACACCGGCCAATACCGTAGTAAAAGAATGAGTTTGTTCTTCCAGAATAGCAATGCTGAGTACATTTTTGTTATATAAAAAAAATATTACATTATATTGACGGTAACCAGCAATCCTGCTGTAACCCACAAAATGCAAAATTATCACAAGAGTCAAAAAACTTTTGAGATTTTATAAAAAAATACTCTTACTCTACTCTAAACTCTAACTCTCTCAAAATCTCTAATCTCTAGAGATCTCTAAAGATCAAAAAATATATCCTGGTTCTGAAAATTACAATTCAGTCAAGATATGTTAAATGAAGCAGATAAATGTATGGGCCACATCAAAGTAAGGATTTTTCTTTAACGCAAAATTGTTGTAATTACATATTAAAATTGTATTCATTGTGACATTTTAAACATTTTTGCAGGCCAGCAAGGTGAGGATGGTTGGTGTAGCCGGTGTTTATGCTTTACCAGCTATCTTCGCGTTTGGACTTTATCACCACTTAACATCTCAGGTGGGGTAGATTCATTTGCCTACCTGGCTATAAAAAAATTGTGTGTGTCAGCTCCGACGCACGACTGGAGTTTACTCCTTAAGTTCGATAGTCTAACCAGACGCAAAAAGAGTTTATTTAACTTAAAAAAGATTGATACTGTATGAAAGGGTAAATTAACGAATTAATGAAAATAATATACATATATAAATATATATTTATTCATTTCATTTACATTTAATAATATTAATTAAATCAACATTGTCTGCATTATGAATTACAGTGACAAGTGGTTTATGGTAACTAAAATAAGACACATGGACGTTCGTAAGATACGTGGTTCACGAATCTTGAAAATAGCGATCAAATTGCACATGATCAACAGACGACTACTGTATCTAAAAGAGCATAAAAGCTAAATGCGAAAAACTTTGTGTTTTGTAATTGACGTAACTAGATTTTGTCTTTAATACCATATCTATATATATAAAACTCAAAGGTGACTCACTGACATAGTGTGACTAACGAACAGCCCAAACCACTGGACAGATCGGGCTGAAATTTGGCATGTAGGTAGATGTTATGACGTAGGCATCCGCTAAGAAAGGATTTTGATCAATTCTACCCCCAAGGGGATAAAATAGGGAATGAAAGTTTGTATGAAACTTTGTCAATTTAAAACTATAGTGAGTCATCTTTGAATTTTATATATATAAAATTCAAAGGTGACTCACTGACATAGTGATCTATCAACGAACAGCCCAAACCACTGAACAGATCGGGCTGAGATTTTGCATGCAGGTATAAGAAGAATCATAAATATAATCATATCTGAGAACAAAAACTAGTCTACACTTCAGCTCTACACCGAAGCGAAGCGAGGGCGGGCCGCTAGTTTGTATATAAAGTTTATAATCTAATAAATGCAGTAAGCACGGAACATTACTTGAATGCTTTATACAATTATGCTTTAACCCACACTACTGAACATTCGATAGCGCTGTAACTACTAAGACCACATTAATTGCAAAAGGGAAATTGTTGTAAATGCCAAATACATGAAAAAGTTTGTTTTTCATGCTATTGTTAATAGCATGAAAAACAAGGCAAGGCAAACAAAAGCAAGTATTCAGATATCTTTTTGCAAGAAGAGGGTGTACTAAGAGTTCTAGAGGTCGTAGAGCCACGGGAATAGTACCGTTCGATACATTTATTTTTAGAATTCTGAATCTGAAATAACAAAAATTGCTAAAAATGTGAATTGTAATACTAAATGAAAAAACAGGATTGCTTTTTATCGCCGATATGAAAAATTTAGTTATCTTATAATTTTCATATTTCCTGTGTTAAGGCAACACTGCAAAGAGCCCCGCTTAATGCTAAGATTAGAGGCAAGCTAGTAACTATGCAAGTCGCCCTCCTGGGCGCATCGCTAGCAGTGTGGCTAAATGCGATAGTATCTATGCAATACGTCTCTTCTCTTTGGCTGGTCACTAATCTATAAAAGTTACTCTTAGCACGTAGCGAGACTCCTTATAGTGTGGCCATAGCCTGAGCAAAACACCTATGACTTTGTCACAGCAGAGCCGCATATACTATGGTTACACCCTTATTGCTACGTAATAAGGTTAATATTAATGACTAATGATATCCACTAACGAAGCCAAACATACATTATGAAGGATAGTTTTATGGCGCATATTAACTCTCCACTCTGCGTCGCATGTCGCCTCCGTGGCCGAGTGGTTTGTACGCCGGGTCTCATGGTGTCGCCGACTCGAGAGGTCCCGGGTTCGAATCCCGGTGGGGGCAGATGTTTGTGTGATGGATACGAGCATTTGTACTCCAGCCATATGGATGTTTAATATGTATTTCTATATAAATATACTTATATATGTTCAGTAAATGTATTCTATCCGTTACCCTAGTATCCCATAACACAAGCCTACAGTGCTTACTTTGGGGCTAAGATATTTGGTGTGAGTGTTGGAAATATTTATTTATTTGTCTATGCGTCTTTATTCGGTGTCACTAACATTAATACCTATCAACTTTATTGCCTAATATTTTATATTCTTTTAGATGTTACCACATAAGGTATTTATCTAGATTGTAGATAAGTTCGTAACGAATTTCTACTAAAAATTAGAATACAATAAGACATTAAAAATCCTAAATATGCCTTAATTTACTGAACCCAATCCCCTACAGAGAACAAAAGAAAATGGTTTATACAAAATCAGGGGATCATTATTTGCTGATTAATCTAATACATCCCGACAGACGCCAATTTGTCAACACAGCGTGGCTAGTCTAGTGATTAATTTAGCGTATAAATCTTTGGAGTTGATGTGACACTGAAAGCTAAGCTATTTCAGATACTTCTAACTGAATCTGTATATATAAAACTCAAAGGTGACTGACTGACATAGTGATCTATCAACGAACAGCCCAAACCACTG